CCTTGTGACTCTGTTGGGGCTCATGAAACCAAGAAGCCATTGTGACATTGCCAGACCTCATGGAATCAAGGAGACAATTGTGACAGTGTTAGGACCCATGAAGGTAAGGGAACATGGAACAGGTCTGCCTGGTTTGGATTCCTGGGGGCTGTCTGACAGGTCCCACTGAATTTGACATGTCAAGGGCCACTTCCCATCTGACCTTGAAGCACTGAACTCTTTGCTTTTATTCCTATAGGAAAGAACTGTCTTTCTTGTCTAGGCGCCCATGGCCAAAATGGGAATTCTGCGTCTAAAATTCTCTATATCCAAGGGTTACTCCCAGACAAAGTCTGATCATACAGTCAAGTCTGGCTAGACTTGGCCTCTGGCAACTGCCTCTCATCTGCCTTTGCACCACTGGGGCTCGCTTGTTTCCTTCCTATGGAGACCATTGTGACATTGGGGAGCATTGTGGAACCAATGGGCCATGGTGACCCTGCAGGCCCTTGTGGAACCTGTTACACTGTAGGAACTTGTGGAACCAAGGGGAACATTGTGACCCTGCAGGGTACCATGGATCCAAGGGGCCACTCTGACACTGTGACACTGTGGAGCCTCATGGAACCAAGGACATCATTGTGGCTCTGTTGAGCTGCATGGTCCCAAGGGGCCTGTGTGAAGCAGCAGGGCTTTGTGGCACCAAGAGGCCATTGCTGCATTTCCGGGCCTTGTAGAGCCAAAGGGCCATTGTGATCCTGCGAGCTGCTGTGGATCCATAGAGAGCATTGTAGCATTGCAAGGCCCCATGGAATCATGGAGACCATTGTGGCTCCATTGTGGGGTGACGAAGAACCAAAGGGCCATTGTGACCTTGCAGGGTGCCATGGATCCAAGGGACCATTGTGACACTGTGGGGCCCCACGGAACCAAAGGACCACTGTCACCTTGCAGGGCCTCATGGAGGGAAGGGGTCATTGTGACACTATAGGAAGTTGTCGAAACAAGGGAATTATTGTTGCACTACTGGGCCTCAATGGAATCCAGGGACCATGATGACACAGAGGGGCTTCATGGAACCCAAAGACCATTATGGCACTGTGGGGCCTTGTGAAAACATGGAGACCATTAAGTTCCTTAAGGACTTGTGTAACCAAGGGGCCATTATGACACCTGAGGGTGTCATGGAAGCAAGGAGCCATTGTGACACTGCAGGGACCTGTGGAACCAAGCGAACATGAAATAGGTGTGGCTGCCTTGGTATCCCAGGGGTCACCTGAAAGGCCTGGCTGACCTTGGAATGTGGAAGGCTGCTTCCATCTGCCCCTGAAGCCCTGGGGCTCTGGGCTTTCCTTTTTATGGAAAAGAACTGTCCATCTATTCCAGGTATCCAGGCTAAATTTGGATTCCACCTCCAAATTTCTGTGTATCCAAGGATTGCTGCAGACAAAAGCTGACAGGAGAGACAGGTCTGGCTGGTCCTTGATTCCTGAGTGCCAGAACTCACCTATTTTACAAACACTGGAAAGGGCTCTGTGTTTCTCTTTGTATGGAAAAAATCATGCTTCTCCAGGCATAAAATTGTGAAATTAGGATTCCACATTCATAATGTTGAATATCCAAGGGTTGCTCCAAACAAACCTGCCAGGACAGACAAGTCAGGCTTGCCTTGGCCTCTGGTGGTTGCTGTTCATCAGCTCCTGAAACATGGGGCCTCCGTGGTTTCCTTCCTATGGAGACCAGTGTGACATTTGGGAGCCTTGGGAAATGAAGGTGCCATTGTGACACTGCAGAGCACCATGGATCCAAGGGACNGAGTGTGGGGAGTGTGGGAAGGGCTTCAGCTGCAACTCCGCCCTCATCACCCACCAACGCATCCACACTGGGGAGAAGCCCTACGAGTGTGCCCAGTGTCAGAAGAGGTTTCGGACCAGCTCCAGTCTCCTCCAGCATCAGCAGATTCACACCGATGAGAGGCCCTTCCGCTGCCCTGAGTGTGGAAAAGGCTTCAAGCGCAGCTACACCCTTGTCAGCCACCGGCGCATCCACACTGGGGAGAGGCCCTACGAGTGTTCTGAGTGTGAGAACAGGTTTCACACCAGCTCTGATCTTCTCCTGCATGAGCGGATTCACACGGATGAGAGACCCTTCTTCTGCCCTAGCTGCGGGAAGGGCTTCAAGCGCAACTCCCACCTCATCAGGCACAAGCGGACCCACACTGGGGAGAGGCCCTACAAGTGTGGGGAATGTGGGATGAACTTTAGCCAGAACTCTAACCTGATCTCCCACCAGAAGACCCACACCAGAGAACGGCCCTATGAATGTGGGGAATGTGGGAAGAGCTTCAGTCTTAAGTCTCTCTTGAGCTGCCACCAGAGGATCCACACTGGGGAAAGGCCATACAAATGTGGGGAATGTGGGATGACCTTTAGTAGGAGGCCCCAACTGATCATCCACCAAATGACCCACACTGGGGAGAAGCCCTACAAGTGCCCTGAGTGTCAGAAGAAGTTTCACACCAGTTCTTATCTCGTCCAGCACCAGCGGATTCAGAGGTTGAGAGGCCCTTCCGCTGCCCTGACTGCGGGAAGGGCTTCAAGCACAACTCCACCCTGATCACCCACCGGCGCATCCACTGGAGAGAGGCCCTACGAGTGTCCCCAGTGTGAGAAGAGCTTCACCAGCAGCTCTCACATGACCAGACGCCAACGGAGTCACCAGTAAAAGAAACCCTGCACATGCCCCAACTGCAGGAAGAGTTCATGCACTGCTTCAGCTTTATCACACATGGGAGAACCCACGTTGGGAAGAGCCCTGGGAACCCATTTTCCTTGTGATCCATGCTGGGAAGACAGCTGTACCTTTTCCTGCCCCTGCCAATGATATGATGTGGGATGGAAGAACATGAGGGTCTGGCCATGGCCCTGTCATTACATTCACTCCCACCTCAGATCATTGCTAGGGGCAGGAAAGGGACTCTCTCTCTC